ATTTGTGTAGAGTGCTAAGCTAAACAAACAAGCTAAATGTGAATTACCTACTGAGAGAGGGCAATCGTGAGCCATTAAATGTACACATGCTTCTGTGTTGTCTGCTTATGATTTTAAGTGCATGTTTTGTTTTTTGTTTTTTAATGTTGTCTGTACGCCATGTTTTAATTTTCTTATAACATCAACCTGCCAGGGACTCCAAATGACAATTAGTCTGTATGGCTAAATCTGGTTTATTTACATTTGGGCATTGTCCTTATGTTAATTAATGTGCACTGTCCCTTTTAAATAAAGAGAAAGAAATGTGCAGACTACCTCTTGTTTACCAACAGTATGTTGTCATGTTAACTGTAGGTTAATATTAATTATTACAAAAATTTTTTTTTTGTAATATAAAGTTTTTATTGGTTTTAATTCCACAAGCTGTAAATTATAATTTTACAGGCGAAGTAATTGATTAATGTGGTTACGGGTCCCTAGGCTACACCTCTTGTGGAGCTCACTGCCATCCCATATTACAAAACATCTGGCAGTTTATTGGCGCAACAATCTGGTGGAAAGCATGTGTGTAAGAAGTACAGATAAAAACACACAGGCATGACAAAGAACAGTCACAATCAAAGTAAAGATTAAAAAAATGCAGGCTACAAGATTTATATTAAAATTTCATGTATAAAGCTTAATCAAATGTAACTTAAATTTTTCCTGGGCCATTTTGGGTTTTTTTGTTATCAAAGGTTATGTGCCAGTGCCTCTTAGTCAAGTTTATAATCAGGTGCAAATTCAGATCAGCATCAGTTCGCAACAGTGCTACAGCCTAATATCAGAGCACAGAGATGAACAAGATAAAAGAAAAAAGGCCAGAGTGGCTCCAAGAGGAATTTAAAATGAGGCTTTGTAAAAAAAACAATTTTTTTGATTGCGTCTCGTCTAAGTAGGGAGACCCAACGGTCAGTGTATTCATGCTGCTGTGAGACATCTTCCACATACTGCGGATGTCCCAAGATCAGCACTTTGGGCAGCGGCCGTTACATGCTTTTTCCACCTGAGACTAAACCCTTTGGATGTGAGAACTGAGGTAACCTATGTTATTTGTGTTTAATCCTGAATTTTCCTTTTTGTTGTCTTCACAGGTGACTTCCTACCTTGTTGACCTGGAGAGAAGCTAGGAGGGTCTGCACATGATTCATATAAGAGGCTTGAGTCTATAGTACCACTACTTATTTCATCAAACTATGACAGTTTGTGTTATTTTATCTCTGTGACTGAGTGAATTATATTTTTCCATCATATTCTTCCTCCTTAAAACTATGGGCCATAACCTTACAAACCTCCACGTTCTGAATCTTGAGTTTCTTTGAAATGCTCTTTACTTTGTGTTTTTGATGTGTTTGTTTATGCATGATTTTGCTGAGAAGTACAAAATACCAATGAACCACTAGCAGTGACATTCATCTCTTATGAATCAATGCGTATTTAGTATTATGTTTGAGAGTTGGTGCTTTGTTGCATTACAGAAAGAATAAAGTGTACAAAAGAAAATGAAAAAGCACACTTTTGTATCCCCATCCAGCTTAAAATCCAAACATATGATTTGAAACGAGTTTCAGTTAGAGAGATAAGGCTTAGTGTTGTATTTAGTGGCTACCTGTAGTGCAATGTCAAGTCATGGGGGGCCTTAATGGTGCAACACAGGAACTGAGTTTGATACCTAAAATTTTCCTTTCTATATAGAACCGCTGTGTATTCTTTTACATTTAAATTGTGAACCGAAGTGTGAGCTAGAGAGAGATAATTGGCACAAAGGAGAACCAATAACAGATAAATAGTTCTAAAGCGTGCCTAAATATTCTCACCAGACACGTGGTTACTACCTTGCCCTGTCTGCATGTTCTAGGCCCGATGGAAACCCTAGTATATACATGTTGAAAGCTTTGCAGCCGATTTAAGTTATCATTGCCTTGTTATCTTGCCAAGTCTTTAAACCCCATTTAAAGCCATACACAGGATGAACAGTGCGAAGACGGGATTTGCGTTGACGCACATAAATTGTTTCTTAGAAAAAAGGAGAATGCTTGATACTTACAAATGTGGGTCGAGGACACAATCAATTTGTGACCTCCTCCAACCTTATTTTGTGTAACAACTACAATCATGTATTTTTCAGATGCCAACTTTCTATTTCAGAGACAACTCAACAAAACTAATGTATAACCAATGACAATAGATAAGGTTTTTCTTTTTTTGTTTGTTTGTTTTGCGTGTGTCAGTAAAGTACCACACGGCCTAACTTAAGTCTGTGTTGTGTAGGAAAAATAAAACAATGACACACAGGCACCCTTGTGGTTTTGTATCTCGAATAAATCATTTTAAATGGAGTTTAAATGAAGGAATATGCTGGCCTGGCTGTCAGATTTTGACTGTGGCTGTCGATGTTACATATTGGTGAAGCTGCAACTGATGTGGCAGCAGTCCACCTCTGTACTGTGTAGTTATTTGCTGATATGTTACTGTATGCAGGCTAAACCAATGATGACATATTTAAAATAAAAGAAATGCTCTCCACTTTGCCTATGTGTATTTATGCTTTTCATTATTTACATTGTTGGAATGGGGCTGGTTTGGATCTTTAAACCATGCTGACTTTTTAAATAAGTTATTTACCTTGATTGAACAATTGTTTGAATATTTTGAAGCTGTAATGTGTCGCTGTGCGCCCTGCCTACATGGGGATAAAAAATAATGCAGTCATGCGTGCTAATTAACAGTAATGGAAAGTAAATAAGTACATTTCCAAATGAAACGATTGGAAGTGCTTATTACATTCCTGCAACAGCCACCGATACAGCATTATTTAAATTTTTGTGTCAGAGCATTTGATATATTGATAGCTAAACAAATATAATGAATGCCTCTGAAATAAGTGGCCTACCCCAGCTTTAAGTGCAGTTTTGAGGTTTTTACCAAATTTCTATTTGAAAATAACACTGATGATGATCAGCTTATTTGTTGTATTATGGGAAATGTGGAATTCAGTATATTTTGGAGTTTGAGTTACTAAAAATGAGAGATATTCTAATTTAGCCTCTGTGGCTTAGATTATATTTTATCTGTCTCTTTTGAACCCCTAACTTTATGAAAGTGCAAAACTGAATCACTGGAGTGTCCCTTTAAAATGTGACAATTACATGTTTTTAGTAGTAACAATAAATCCTGAGATTTAGAGAATGGGATCAAAGAGGTTAATAAATGTCAAAATAAGTCAGAATGGAAGGTACTACTGTACATGATTTCCATAATGGAAATAGACTACAAATTTGCATTCTGTACTGTAGAGATCTGGTACCATCAGTTATAAATTCAGTAGCTCAATGTCCCTTTTGTACCTTAGAATTTCTGATTCCATGGTAGGATCACATTTATTCTATGCTGCAGGAGGTTTTGAGGTTGCCTCTCAGTTATTCTATCCAAACAAGTCAAACAATGAAATGCTCTCTTACAGTAACGCAGGCTATTGAAGGGGACAGGGTATGGGAGCCATATCTTATCAAGGGGAGATATTAAATACTTGTCCAATCGATTTAAGATATTTAACTGGGATAGAACACACAATTATCCTTGGTTGAGGGATGGTACTAAAGTTTTTCTCTTTATGACTTTCATTTTATTTTCAGGAAAAATATAATCAAACACAAAGCCAGTGTAAGGAGGATATCTGGGATACACCAACGTTTAGGGATGATGTGCAATTAAAGATTGCAACACCAGAACTAGATATTAAATATAATTAACAGAGAGGACAATTAGGTCATTGGGTGTTCAATTAAGGACTGATACCACTGGTGACTGAGGTAGGCAGATATAAAGGCATTCCTGAAGATCAGCATTTATGTCTTTTTTGTGATCTTTGTGTTGCTGAGGATAAATATAATTTTATGTTTGTACAGCCCTCTAAATGTTGATTTGGTGGCTGAAGGTGATATGTTGGGTTGGGTTTGTAATGAGGATATTTTTGTTTTCTGAATTTGTGTATCTGTAGATCACGATAGCCATGGGTTCATCTTGCTATCTATTATTTTGTAAACATACCACGACTGGGTACCATATGGCGGACAATTGAATCAATCAATGAAGCAGTGTGGTTTAACAGCTGCACTGAGTAGAACAAACTGGCACTGCAGCAGGTAGTAAAGGCTGCCCACAGAATCACAGGGACAGATCTTCCCTCACTGCAGGACACCTATGATCTACAGATGGGCCTGCAGTTTCATTAGAGATCCAGCTCACCCAACTCAGGAACTCTTTAACCTCATGAAGGCTGACAGGTGATACCGAAAGCATAGGTACAAAATATCCAGATTTCGGAACAGTATGCACCCCCAGGCCATCAGTGTGATCAAGAAATATCCCCTTACCACTCCCATCTGTACCCCCACCCCGCCACAAACATGACATGGGAAACAGACATGGACAAACTGCAAAGTAAGCACTTTATAGAAGGCAACTAAGCACTTACACTACCTCAAAGGTAATTTATATTGCATGTATATTTTTTATGTATGCCTGTAATGCTGTGTGTGTTGTGTTTTAACATTATGATTATGATCTGTATATATATATATAAATATATGTATTCAACATGCTAAGAATGTTATTGTGTAGCCACTGCACAAAGAAGAATTTGAACATGAAAAATAACAATTGGGAGTTGGTTAGAGGGTTATACATTTATTGAAAACACTCCCAGTTTTCGCTATGTTTTGCTGGATTTCTGAAGATGTGGTACTTCGTCTAGCCTACCTTTGCCTACCTTCGGCCCAAAACAAAGTACACGACTCAAAATACCGTTTTGCTGAGACAAAATATGCCCAGTAGCTCATGCTGATTATTATAAGGTTTTGCTTCATGTAAAATGGTTATGGTGAATCAAAGTTCATGTGACCGATACGGGGCGTGGCTTACGACGTCAACATTGATTGACGTGGTTTGCACGACCAGGAAGCCAGCAGTGACATCACTCTCCAGAAATCCCCCTTGCTTCAGTAAAGACGAAGCGCCCGAGCGACGGAGAGAGACAAATAGAGAAATAAAGGAGTTTGCTGCTGTTCCGAGCTTCTTGTGTGTTTAAGCTGATTTTACAACCAAGACGTTAAAGGTGAGACTGTCTCTACCAAACCTTTGTTGTACCAAACCCTGCCTAGCGGTAACATCCAGGTTACTTAACAAGCTAACGTTACGGCTAACTTAGCTCTTATCTTCCCTGCTGTTTATGTCGGAACAAAGACGGTCTGCTTTGCGGCGCAGCTAAAGGGCACTAGTTTAGTCTGTTTAAGTCATATAGCTTTCAATCAGCTCTGTTTCAGCTAACTACCACATCTGTCTGCCTGCTTACATTGTAATGAGGTTAGCTAACGTTGATTTGGAGCATTTCATGTCGTAACGTTAACTCACCCAGTCACATGATGGAAACAGTTGTTCCTCACTACAACGTGTGCACAGACCTAAATAATACAAAATAAATAAAGGATAATCTATTAAGCTCACATCAATTAAGCCCAGTGTGTTATCGCAGAGCTAAATGCAGTTCCCGTGTTGTTGTATAGTGGTAATACAGCAGCTCACGGTGCCTGTTTATAAAGGAAAGTGGTACTTTGTCTGCAGCTCATATAACGTTAATGTGGCCCATTTAATAGGTACAGTAGAAAGGGTGTGGGTCATTTCCAAGCAGTACAGACCTGTTCCTTTTTACTGTTGTCAGCCCTCCTCCTCCTCCTTCCCACTCCCTCTGTCTCTTTCCCAGCCATGTCAATAGACCGGAATAAGCTGCCCAGAGGACCACATTCTTGTATATAACCAATTCGTTCAAGTTAGCCCTCTTTTTCCTTTCCAGTTTCCATAGCAAACAGTGATGCGAAGCCTAAACTGTCCTCAGTAAAGCAATGCATTTATGGGACACTCGCCAAGCTTTTTACCCCGTTTCTGTCACATATTTTCTCTTTATATACATTTGGAAACAGGTGGTAGGGCAGGTCTTCAGTTGATGACAGGGTTGGTGCTTCGATCCCCGGCTCCTCTTGCCCAAGTGTCCTTGAGCAAGACACTGAACCCCAACTTGCTCCCTGCAGCCCCAGCATGGCAGCCATCGTTGTGTGTGAATGGGCGAATGAGATGCATTGCAAAGCACTTTGTCCGTTAATGTAGAAAATCGCTACAAAAATGTCCATTTACCATGTAGAAAATGTTCTTTTACATTTGAATGAGAATCAAGTGTCCACTTCATTTGAACTGCAGTTGTAGAAATGACTCAAGGATTAAATTATGCTATTGCAAGAGCTGGCCAAACACTCATTTTTTCCAGGCTTATTCACTTATGCCTGTGGCCAGCTAGTTCACATGAGGGAGGAATATAAAGCGAGCAAACAAACACAGCTGAAAAGTAAACACTAGAAGGTATTAAAATGCCTCTCTGTGTCCACTAACACAATGAGACTCTTGTCTGTGAGGACTGAGGACGGCAGAATAGAGTAGTGGCTGGAGTAGCTGGGAGAGTGAGATGTTGCAGTACTGTGATGTGGTGATTTGCTTATTTTAGGGAGTGAGTATGTCTCGCGTACTGGTGTCAAAGTGAATATCTGACCACATAGCCTACTACTATGTGCAAATGGCATCAGCGTGATGTTTTGTACATCAGAAGCAACTTTTTCTGTATTTCCATAGTCTGTCTGGAGGTTGGTCATAACCTCTGGTGTTTTTATATTATACTGTCGTCCTCATCACTTTGTTTTCCTGTTACTTATTGAATAAGGGATGTATTCACATGTCTTGTGATTGTGACACACAGTTGTCACAGTGGGGTGAGGAAATTGGTTAAGAAATGATGCTTCTGTTCTTATGACTTGACTTAAGTGAAATCAGTTTGCTTTTTAAGAAATTGTTTTGGGATTATTGTTGAACTGGTAATACTGGCATGACCAATCCAGATTAATTTCAGTTTCTGAGTCATTGTTGTTATTAAAGAGTATCGAATCGGTACTCAGTATTAGAATATGCGGCGTCTGAGTTGATGTATTGGAATCTGTATTGGTAGAAGAGCTGCAACGATTAGACCATAAATTAGTAGTCCTTTAGGAAGTTTTTCAAGCCAAAAATGTCACAAATGGATGGGATCCAGCAGATCTGCATGCTTGAGAAGCAGCCACTATCTTCTTCTTCTTTCGTTCCGAATCACTACCAGGGCACAGGGAATAGCATATATCAAAACAAATGAATGAATGAATTGGATTTACACAAACATATGTCAGACCCAGACATACTTGTTTTTATTCACTGTCAATGTGCAACAGCATGACTCAGCTTGTTGTGCAGTGTGCATAATTTCACTCACCTAACTGACTCTTACCTTTCATTTCCTCTTCAGGCTGCTTTTGTGTTTGTGTGACATGGTAATGAGTTCTTCTGAGTCTAGATTGGTTTGAGGAGACCATTATTATTATTATTATTATTATTATTATAGTTTACAACCTCATTGGACCCTGTCAGCTGTTAACTATTGTCTGTGCTTTCGTGCTCTTGTGTTTTTCCCTCAACCCATGTTTACTTATGTATAATGTTTTGTGGCAGCCTGTACTTCACACAAGTCACATGTATGTACAGACCCAAGTTTCGTTAAGTGTAATGTTATTGTTTGAACTTCAACAGAATGCTTTAGCATGAAAATAGTGTGGAAGAGCAGTTACACAATGCAGTTGAGCTTGCGAGTCAACGAATAAAACGGAAAGATGTTAAATTTTCCGTACTTCTCACTTCTTATCCTACTTCTGCCTGCGTACCATCTGTCCTCCATTCATCCGGTACGGTGATGCTCGTCATTTACAGCAATATGTCACTACACACACACACGCCCTTCATCCAGAGGTAGAACAAGATCAGATAAGAAGTGAGTCATTTATGTCACATATCAGTGCCATTTGATGTGAGCAGAAAGTGGCCGGAAGTTGCATACAGATAAAGAGTTGGTTTGATTCTCAGTGAAATCAGCAGCACTAGTGTCAGAGTCATCTGATTAAATTTTAATAAAATATAGCTTAATGGAGGTTAAAGAAAATGTGTGCCATTAAGGTAATATAGGTTATCCCGGTCAATAGTGCTGTGAGACCTCCCTTTCCCAAGGTCCTCCACTCACAGCTGTTTGTGTTTTGTCCTTAGGATGTCCCTGTATCCATCCCTCGAGGACCTCAAGGTCGACAAGGTCATCAAGGTAAGTGTGTACAGGAGAATTGATTTTAGGCAGACGTCTATTTTAAGATTATTAGCTCTGTACTCTGCAGTCTATTCTATTTTTTTACCCATAAAATACATAAAGTACCAAAAGTCAGGATGTGTTGGCCTCTTTTGTTTTAATCTGTCTCTTGAGAGTCTTCCTGAGTTCAGCAGAAAGTTACTGGGTCATGGAGTAACGTTGTCATTGCCACGTTTCCATATCATGTGAAGATTTAAGTTGCTGCCTCTTGTAGACTGTTGTAGAGAAATAAATATTGTGCAATCACTTAATGTGATTACTAGCAGTTGTATTGCTTGGGCCCACAATAAAGTGTTTAGTTTTGAAGTGGTACACTGCTAAAACCATTAATTCACTGTTTGAGACATGTACGCATGTTTCCTTAACAACCCTTTCTTCTCATTTGTGTTGTACTGATGGCAGTTGCCTTTCATCTAGTATTTACCATTTTAAGTCCCAGTGCACTTCCAGTTGACTGGTGTATCTCATTACTTTCTAGGCTCAGGCCCAGTTTGCCCAGACCACCACCCCCATGCCAGCCATAACTGAGGGAACCTACCAGTTCCAGCCTGCCACTGCTGGGATGCCAGGATCAAGTGAGTCTCACATATACTGTTGAGTGTTTTTTAGAGAGTATTTTAACCCTTTGTTGTGTCACAAACTTGTCTAAAACTCAGGAAAACCAGCAGAAACTCTTATTTCTCTAAGATGTCATTTGACTTGTTTCCCTTATTTCTCATGCTGGGTATTTGTTGGTGTCTATGTGGTTCTGAGCCTGAAGAACAGACCTGTAGTATAAGGGATGGATAAAGATGGGTGGAGTGGGAGGACTGGGATGGGAGGAGGAGTTATGGGGCCCCCACTCCGGCTCTCTGTTTGTGAGTCAATTTCTTTCTCTCTCGTGGTATTTCTGCTCAGGGGTTTATGTTTTCCTGAGCTTGTTAGACACAAACTCTGCAGTAAGCCTGACTGAGATGGCAGAAAAGAGAGAGAAAGGAGGAAAGTGGGTAAAAGATGGATAAGGGGCCCTTTAGAGATCACAGAACACAACCTTTCTGCTTATTTTCACTCACTTCTCCCCCTCTTCCCACTCACTCATTCAGTTTCTCTTTTCTCTGTTTGGATGAAAAGTCCTGTGGGCTTTTGGTCTTTTGTTTTTACCTCAGCAGAGCTAGCTATGAGTCACCATGGAGACTGGCCCTGGCAGTTGTGGTGGGACAGGGCATGATGGGAGAAAGAGAGAGGAGGAGGAGTTGATGGGGAGAGAGAGAGGGAGGGAGGGAGGAGGTTAGAGACCCAGGGGTGTATGCGTGAGCTAGAGGAGAGACAGGAGGAGTTTGTTCTCCTAGAGTGGTGCAGAGAAACAGAGAGGGAGGTAAAAGGGGGACGACCTGATTGACATAAACACTTTTTGACTAACCGAATCCAGTATGTCAGGGTGAACAATACCTTTTCAGAATCTAGATCAATCAGGGTTGTGTCAGCTCACCAGTTCTTTTTACATTGTACATAAATTAGTAGACGACCAGCCCCCCCCAGGAACCACATTTTTACATTTTTAGATAACACTGCTGAAACAGAGTTTTATGCGGCGGTGTGAGGCTGATGAGTATGAGCTCTTACCCTCTGGCAGACAATGAAGAGTACCCCAAAGTAAACTCTTAACTGTGCCTACCTCAATTAAAATGTTAAATAATGCTGCTTGAGGCTGCAGGGATTGTGTAATGGAGTATGGCGTAGTATGGGAATGTGTAATGTAATCACTATTTGTGCAATATGCGTAATACATGTAATTCGTGGTTTGCTATAATATGTACTGCTTTGTTTGTTTTTGCTACCTATTTACCTATGTGCGTTAGGGGTTAGTCATGATTTTCAAATAGTCATTAAATTATATAGTTTATGTGACCATGGTCTTGTCTTAATATAAAATATTTTCCTTTGTTTTTACCGGTAAAACGTGTGTGTGGCGTTTTCAGATCAGCTCCAGCCCTGTGAGATGTGCTACGTGCTCAGGTTCTTCGAAGAATGGTCTAGTCTTCCGAGTGACTGTCGAATAGTATTTTTTGCTAGAAATGCCCATCCCTCACGGGGGTAGATATGGAGCAGGCGTGTGTGGGAGAGTTGAATGAAAGAGACGGCGATAAAACAGGAGAGCACACAAACATAAATGAGGAAAAAAGAAAGAGAGTGAAACTGTAAAGACTAGGCATTCTCCGTTTTCTGAAGTAATGAAACACCTTTTATGTTTTTTTTATCAGGGCGTAGTGTAGGAGTACAGGATGAATCATGATTAGCAGTTTTCTTTTATTTTTGGCCAACAATGTGTAGGTGTTTTTCTCTCTCTTCGTTTCTGTACCCTGTCACCTTTAACTGTACAGTAGGTGATTTCTGAGTGCTTGACTCCACCTGATCCACTCATTGCACATGTCATTGTTGTTGAAACAAAGAAACTCACTGATAGATAAAAGTATTGACTGTTATCACAATCACCGAGCTACTCCATGGTACTGTATGTTTGACTTTTGTCATGCTGCCTGGTATATTGACCTTGTGTGGCCCACCCCGCCTCATTTGTTCCATTTCCGCCCTTGTCTCTTAACTTCTGGTCGCCGGCCATAGTAAACACTCTGTCCTGATCAGTTCACACAGCCAACTATAAACCTCTCAAAGTTGGGAATTTATTTCCACATTTATGAGGAAGTAATATGTTTGGGGCAAAGTTAGCTATGATGTTATCTTTAACAAGCTTTCTTTGTGTTGTTGCAGTAGCTTGATGTTTCTGATACTAAACTTGGCACTATGATGATACATCCTAGTGTTGAGATATTTACATTACTTGTGTTATTAATCATCCGTCTCATAATACATGATAATACATACAAGACATGGATGTGTGTAAGTGTAAGAATGCCAAAATTATTTTTTATGTTTTTATATGGACCATGTAGTTGATCTGGCTGTTTACAATAGCCGTCGACCAATGTGTTCTTTTTAGGTCAAATACGATACAGATTATTAGTAATTAAGGAGAAAATTCTATCATGATAAAAACATTTAATATCATTCGATATTGATATTTATCAGGATAAGTATCAAATCATTATTTCTTTCAAGTTTAAAGGTTGATTTTTGCTCCTGAGTGAAAGTTGAAGAAACCAGATGGTTAATTGTGGTTGTACACTTTTCTTTATGGTCAGAACATGACAAACGGCGGATCGCTTCACAAATCTGAAGTAGAACTTTCAAAACAATTGTGAAAAAAATCTTTTTTCAAAAAATATGATTAGTAAATCTTTTCTTAGTCCCTTTTCCTCAACAAAATAAATATGTAAAATATCTATCTAAAATTAAGTGCATTACATCATTTATCATCATAATTATTTATTGACGATATATTGAACATTTGTTATATTGTTATTGAGGAAAATTATATTGCGATAATTATCATTATTGTTTTATTGCACAGCCCTAATTGGAACCGATATACTTTGCAGTAAAAATGAAAATTGTGGTGTCAAAATTTAGAATAACACAAACTCCAACACCAAACTTTGTGGAAACGCTAACTCACCCCCCAGCTCTTGTTGCTTATGTAAAATGGTGGAAAGGCATTTCCAATATTCAGGACTCTTTAGGCTTTGTCTGAGCTAAACCATATACTAGCATTCTCCTTGGATATCCAACGAGGGTTAAAATGAAGGGCAACTGGACTTGGTTGAAGCTACTGGAAGACGTTTTGTCCCTTATCCAAAGGACTTCTTCAGTTCTTCAGAACTCTGAAGAAGTCCTTTGGATAAGGGACGAAACGTCTTCCAGTAGCTTCAACCAAGTCCAGTTGCCCTTCATTTTAACCCTTGTTGGATAACTATGACCTGGATGACTGAGAATCTTCATAGACATCTCCTTGGATACTGCACATGAAGTACCCCAAGTACTTTCCAAGCACTTAAGACCAATGTAGGCAGTAACTTCTAAATACCTGGCTGTCATGTATGCATGCCACTTTGTAGCCACTGGCTGATTTAACTTGTGCTTTTCGTACCTCTAACTACCTTCCTTACATGTCCTTAGTTTTTTCTATCTTTCTAAATGCAATAATAGTGTGTTTGAGGAAGCTTGACTAATATTCTGGATTCTTAAAGAAAAATACTTTGTTTTGAGTTTACTTGGGCAAAAGATAAGAGGCCACTGTCAGACCAGCTGAGGGCCTCATGACTCATGCCTCAAGGCATCATCGATTTGCATAAAAAACATTTTTATGTGTATATCTGTGTAATATTCAAATAGATGAAACGGGAAGACATAGAGGACAAATGGACACACAGACCGTACATTAGCTAACAATTACAGTGGCCTTTCCATCTTAGCAAGGAATTGAATACTGATGCCAGAAAAGTTTTACTGCATTGCTACACAGACTGCTCATTATCAGCATTCTTCCAATGGAGGGCTCAGTGTAGCTCAAGCGTGACCCTACTGTGATGGACAGCATGAATAAAATATAAAGTGTAAAAAATAATGAGCTAAAAAGGCTCCGTAGGTGCAGCTAATATAACAGCTTCACAGCTATGAATTTAAAACATAAAATGCAGCATCAGATGGGGATTAAATGGCTTGTCTTGATCGATACCCTGGGTAGGAGGTAGGGTAACTCATACAGTATGTATGTCCTGTTTAAACCCTACCTCTATGTATAATTTATTCATCGTGTAACATTGTGTTTGTTCCTTTTCTCTCTCTCCTCTGGTCTCTCTATCCTACCAACCACCTGTCTCTCACTCTCCACCTCTTCCACCTGCTTGGCCTCCCTCCATCTTTCTTTGGCTTCCATTTTCACCACCACCCTCCTCCTCCTCCTTCTTCCACTCCTCTCCTCTCCATTCAACCAGGCTTGTACCCGAACCTGGAGGAGCTGGGAGACTACATGGGTCTGGCCCTTAACAGTGATGAAGTCCAGAGGAACCTGGCCTTGATGCCTGTGGCTGACAATGTAAGTGTTTGTGTGTGTCCTGGGGATGTGTGTTAATCACTGTATAAAACATGGACGTCGCCTTTGTAGCGTCACCCCTAGGTTCTGAAGAGCTATCGTGAAGGTCAGTGTGGAGGCACCGCCTGACTCCACCTAACTCCTGTCTAATCCAAAAATGGTCAAAGAGGTGGGCGCTAGCAGACAGCTAGCGGTTAGCTACCTGTGACGGCACCCACCTGTCACTCAAAACATCCACACCCTTATGCATAACTTTAAGCCGTAATGTAATTTAAATAAGTGAGTAATATAAAAATCCAGCCTCAAATGGACATGGCTTTATTTTTTAGCCCCAGAGGTTGCCGCTTGGATGCATTATTAAAAGACTACTCCAGCAGTTTGGCACAGCACTCCTGACGCTGTCAGACTCACAATGGACAATTAAAAACAAAGGAGAGAAACCAAAGATGTTGTGTTTTGGATCCTCTGCATTCTTCTTCCCGCGTCAAACCTGGCACCCACGTTACCCACAATGCAACCAGATCAATGACAGATTATTTTTGTTTTCAAACTTGTAGTCTTCAGGCCCAACAGACTTCCCTCTGGGGCCACAAAAGGTTTTATGCAACTTTTTCTTCATGTGCAGTAGTACTCTCACCTGTGAACAGACTATGATATGTCAAATTGGTTGAGTTCCCCTTTGATATCTTCGTTCCATCCAAAAATAATAATTTTTGGATGGAACGAAGAGAGTGAAAAAAAATTAGACCCATGTTAAAAACAACTTCTTAAAATTCAGGTCACATTAAAGCCTCTCACTTCAAACCATCAGCCCTCCATGTTTATAAATCTGTTTTGAGTAGATATATCAGAGCGCAACAGTATTCTGTTCCTGGAGACCCACATTACTGAGTGACTCACTGCAGGCCTGGAGCAGTATGTGGGAGGGTGTGAGCTCTTCACTCCCCTCCAAATGTGCGTGCGAGGTCGTGTACATGCGGATCCCGCAGATGTCAAGACTCTCGCAGCACCCTTGCTTCTCAGCTGGCATTTAACCATCTGTGTTCTCTGCCATTTGCTGATGTCTTCACCTCTACCATTAGTTTTGTTGTTTGTGCAAAGCATGTTAATGATGAAGTTTTCAAGAGCAGTGCCTAAAGCATTCCTGATCTCGTTCACCGGTGAAGGAGGAGATGAAATTGAATCCTCCCACGCACCTCTATTTGATGCAGCATTGCTTTTAATCTCGAGCTGAATTTTAATGCAACGTGCCTCTTTAATCCTTTCTTCCTCACACCTCTTCCTCACCCCCCCCTCAATCTGCCTCTTTTTCTTTCTCAACCCACCTCTTTCACGTTCTCACCTCCTTTGCTGTCTGGCTTTCTTCCCCTCTCCTTAGCAAGTGGCAGTGCCCTCCCTCTCAGGCGTTGGGGGGATGGTGCGGCCGGTGACGGGGGCAGACGTCGGCATCAGGAGGGCAGAGATCCGCCCAGGGCTGCGGGAGATTATCCTCTGTAAGGACCAGGACGGGAAGGTGGGACTCCGTCTCAGGGCCATCGACAACGTGAGTCAGCATCATAAACTCTTTGACGGAAACCTGCTCTGTTAATAAATAAATATTCATAATTAACACTCCTTTGACGGCATACTGATGACTAAGGAAATCCACACCCCCCTCTTCTAATCTTCCACACAAGATCAGTGTTGAGATCTGATTCTGCTTCACTTGGTGAATCTTTAAAGGTGGGGTATGTGATTCTGGAGAAATCCAACACCATGACAAATACCATGATATAGAGCGAACAACGACACTGCAGGTGATACAACGTTAGCTTGTGGGTTAGCAAACTATTGCTACAGTTGCTGCTGCGAAGCTAACACGCAGAGAGGAATAGATGGTCCCAGAGCAGCACAACAGCTCCAGACAGAGACACTCTCCTGCTACTATATCTAACATCACAAGTAAGCTGAATGTCTGTGGGAAAGTCATTTAACGTTAGCTGACACACAATATGGCTGGAATAGTGTTGTATGGCTCGGTCCAAGCCACTTTGTTTGTTTCCCATTTACAGAGCCAGGGCTGTGTACAAACACCGGATTTATTTTCAGCTGACACAGAACAGACAGCTAGCGCACCGTGAGGAGATATTCGCTGCATTTGACAAAAAGAAGTGTATTAGATTAGAATTGTATAACCCACCTTTAAACCTGTTTTACTCTGTATCTGGAGCATAAAGGGATGTTGATCACACCTGCTTCTCATGATGTTATAAACCCCCTTAAATGATCTACAACATGTCACAGACCCGTTTTTATTGACATGTAATATTACTGGGACACATCTGCATTAGTAACTTGTAACATGGCAATTAAAACAGGCACTGGGTAATGTTTATTATCAGTACTAAGAGCATGTAAGCATTAATGTGCTGTAAGAAAAACACAAACAACAAATGATCTCCTGTGATACTCAGGCCAGCTTGTGAACGTAGTTAATTATTCATTTTGTACTGAGTTGCTTTTGAAAGCCTTTGCAAATGAGTTAGTAAAAACAGAAGATTGAGTGTATTGATTGGTGATCGATGTACTGCTGAAATGACACAGCGCACTTAACAGAATCTTCAAAATTAGGACATCATTCCCATCAAATCATTTCACTAGACTGCGTTGACATTAATGACAATTACTAACTATTTTGAAAGAGTTGTTAAAGGCATCAAAGTTCTATTGGTTCAAATATCTAGCAACATCTCTTTTCTCTTAATGAACATTTAATCTCCTCTTTCCTCTCCGTGCCCCTCCTCTTGAGGTTTTTCCTTTGTTTTCTCTCTGATAGCGGCATCTGTCTTCTCTCTCTTCTCTCTTCCTTCATTCCTTGGACTAATTTTTGAATGCTTTATCTTTCCTCTCTCAGGGAGTGTTTATCCAGCTGGTGCAGGCTAACTCCCCTGCGGCCCTGGCCGGACTGCGTTTCGGGGACCAGGTCCTTCAAATCAACGGGCAGAACTGTGCCGGCTGGAGTGTAGACAAGGCCCACAAGGCCCTGAAGATTGCGGCCGAGACTCGCATTGAGCTTGTTGTCAGGGACAGGTGAGGTTTACACCATTTACATACAGACAGACTACATAAATCCTGCAATCAGTCCTACCAATAGCCTGCAAACGTCAACGATAGCCAACTGAAAGTAACGTTAACATTACATGCACATCATCAACATCATGTTATTTTAATGTTTACATTACCTTTTAAACAGCTGTCAGTGTGCAGGCTTGCCTGTTTTTGTGGTGTGTCCTAGCTGTGTTGTCGCAGCTTCTTGTTTAACTTTCTGTCTGATTGTAGATTCAATTAGTCTGTAAATGTGTTTTTTTTCTATATAAATAATAATCAGAAGTGTACAGTATGATTCAGTAGATGCATTAAAACTGTAATTAGTTTAATTTGTTGATGAAAATGTTATACATTTTGTTAGTTTCCGTCCATTTCTGCAGTTATGTTTTTATTTAGTCGCATTTTTGTTTTTTAATACTTTTAATAGCTCCGCTTTAAACTGTTACTTTCTTTTCTTCATAGACTGGGTTTGAGAGCAAAGTATTGAGAATGTTTGAAGTGCATTGTGAGCCTCCAGATTACAATATAATGTGCGTTGAAATATAGAAAGGAAACATAGATCGGTTTATTGTGTTCTCCGTGGTTTATTTTCCAATGTGTAAACCTCATCTGTATCTTTGTCTTTCCCATGACATGGAGCAATTGCGGTTTAACATTGCTTTGTAAACTACTCAGGATCCATTTGTCCATGTGCAAACAGCTGAATTATATTTGCCTTTCATATTAAGTTCTAATGGTCAAGATTTTAAATGTATGTACACGGCACTTTTGAACTTAAATCTATAACAGCATGTTAGAGTTAAAAGGAAAAGGTCAGGACAGGTAATTGCTGAACTTCACTTTCCCAGCTTTTGAGTTTATCTGAGGAAAAGGCCGCTCCCTGATGAGCTAAGGGCCTTGTAACTCATATCCGGCAAGCAGATCTCAGATATGAACATGAACATCACCAATTTGCCTAAAAGCTTTGAGTGTAAATGACTATATATTTATATATCTTTGTAATATTTAAACAGGTGAATGTCATCTGTTTTCTGAACATGGTTTCTCAGTAGAAGCTGAAATGTTTGGCTCCCTCTGCTGGCTGTTTATTTGCTGCCCAGCTCTCCTGTTTTGTTTTCATAAACATTATCATATAGCATTTTTTGTTCTGTTTCCAAGTTTTATAATTATAAATTTACAGACATACTAGTGGATTCCTGATCCTTTCTGTGTGTGTGTGTGCCTCTCTAGGCCATTTCAGCGCACCGTCACCATGCACAAAGACAGCTCAGGCCACGTCGGCTTTATCTACAAGTCTGGTAAAATCACCTCACTGGTCAAGGATGCCTCTGCCGCCCGCAACGGCCTGCTGACTGAACATTACATCTGTGAAATTAATGGGCAAAACGTCATTGGACTCAAGGTCAGACACTTGTTTCTGTATATGAGTCTTTTCATCGAACAGTTTGGTTACTGATGGATATAAAATGTTAACTAAGTCGTCATTATGTGAGGAAGTAATGTGTATACTGAAGATGAGATGAACTCCATTGATGTTGCATTGTGGATAAACATGGGCTAAAAATGATCCAAAATTGGACTAAATACAGAAAATATGTGATGCTTATTAAATGTTTGGTGGCTAACTTGAGTTTTGCATTGGGACGGCTGCTTACATACTGGCCGAATGTAGTATAACGTGGGAACGTGCAGCGTTTTTAAGTAAGTGCAGCATTCACCAGCTCCAAGTCTGTACACACGTGAAGTGAAAAGGTGTTTAGGTTGCATCAGTAATGTGGCCATAGTTTGCTTTTAGAGCGGTGTTTTCTTTTGTAGGCGTGTAGTTTCATTCTGCTCTGTAATAAAGGCTTTTTTTGTTTGGCTAAAGTTTAATGGTGATTTATTAAATTCTCACATTTCGCTGCTCCTGTGTGAAAATTCCAGGATTCTCAGATCAAGGACATTCTGGCCACCTCTCCGACCGCCATGACCATCACCATAATGCCCAAGTTCATCTATGAACACATGATTAAGAGGTAGGACTTCAACATTTTAGTTAATCTAATGTCAATATCTTATCATTAATAATATTTTGGCACAGTATCTACACATACGGTGCATTAAAGTGCTGCATGACCTGCTGTCAGTCACCAAAATGAGATTTTCCCACGCGGATCCATGTAGCGCTGATGCTAATGCAGAACGCTCCATTCATTGAGCTATTGGTTTGTTAGTTATAAGTCAGTGTGAAACAAAGTAGGCCAGAACTAAAAGGCAACAGTTTATAATTTTATTCCTTGGTCCAGACCAACTAAACCAAACTACAGGTTTTAACGCAACCTTAAATGAACCCAGTGTGAAGAAGGTTTTACATGATGCTCTTCACTGACAAGCTTACAGATGGGATTTCTTTTTCCAGGATGTCGACCGGGCTCCTGCGGTCAGCCATGGATCACTCTGTCCCAGAGGTGTGAAGACCAGGAGGAGGACTGTCAACTGTCAGGGTGTCTACAATACAGAGAGATCTCTCTTTGCTCTTTCTCTCTTTTCCTCATATCTTTATCTGTCTCTCTCTCTCTCTCTGTCTCTCTCTCTCTCGCTTTCTGTCTTCATACCAAACCACCTCCTGCATCACAATCATCATCGTCGCCATTTCTCATCTTTAACATGATCTTAAAAATGCCTTTTTTTCTATTCTTCAGTCATTGAATATATTCTCTACCTTTTCTACATTTTCATCAACTCTGTTGACATTTCTAGTACGTTTTATATGTTAACCTCATAGTCTAAGTATTACATATTTTATTTTCTTGTTTTGTACTTGAGATCAAGAACCGTACAAAATGTTTTTGTTTGTTTTTTAAAGCCATGCACACTATCATGAGTCCAGAGCTTCCTCTTTATTGTGAAGGTGAATCATTGGCACATGACGTTTCATCTTGTCAAAATGCTGTAAAAGCCAGTGGTCAGTCATCAGAGCCCTATCATGTAGATCACGGCTGTGCTCCCAGTCCCTGCACTTAGCCCCTAATGTGTGTGAACATTAAAAATCTGAGCTGAATGAACACCTGGGGCCTCATGTGAAAAAGTATGCTGACTGATTCCAGTGTCACTTTTACTTGGCCAGTAAAACCTAATAGGTTAGTTAGTTTATACCATACATTGGTGAAAATTAGTGTTATTTTTGGCATTGAGATAAGGTTTTGTTTTTTTTTTGTTTTTTTTATGCTTCCCAGATTCTAGCGTAATTTACAGCAAGGCAGTTTCCACCTTCTTCAAGAGATGGCAATGTATCATTGTATCACATTTTCTGTCTCTGCGGGCTAAGGTCATGATGAGACTCTGATGTGTTGAATTTATAGGTACTGGAAACACTGTGCACATTCCAGGGGAAAGTGTAGGGAAAGCAGGGCAGCAGTAGATGTTTGTTACCCTTTGCAGCTGGGACCTAACCCTGTCCACAAACACCACAAGAGCTGTTAGGCAATGAAGAGCACAAGTCAGCAACATCAAAATGAACTATGTGATTGGCTATCTGGAGGTCAGGTTTGTTGTATATGGTCTTCAAACCATATCATTTTCAAGGGAATTGTTGGTATTTGTTTGGACAGGGTCTGTGCTGGGCCGACCCACTAAGTGCACTTTCCACTACCTTGTAAGAGGTTATCTTTCCTGTGTCCATTTTTAGTTACGTTCAACAGTTGTACTTTTTATTGTTGTGTTTGTGGTGCCTCATTTTAATCAGAAAACTCATGAAAACATATAACTTATGTTAAACGAAGGAAACTGCTCAAATTTGGCACTAGATTCATCACCTCAAATTGAACGTATTAAAATTCCACCTCACGTGTTAAGCCATTGACATTGCTCTCCTCTGCGAAGTGTTAGAGGACGTCCCTCTGTAATATTCCTTCCTTGACTGATGAGCGCAGCGAGAATGAGGAGAGCTCACAGTTGTGAATTTCTACTTCTTATATAAAGTTGCTCCTTTTAATGCTGTTCATGTTTGGATGCATGTATTCCTTTAATTTTCTAGGTATGCAATCTGATAAACATCACTGTCATTCTGTAAGAAAATTAGAAAAATCTAAAAGTTTATATACGAATGTAACCAAGATAATATTGTAAAACAAATAAACAGTCTTTCTGTTCACATTAGCGTGGTAGTGTTTGTATTCCCCTCTGGACATGTATCTTCATGCTAACATTATATTCTTTTGTGTGGTTCTGTGTGGTTGGGGGAAAAATACACCAACAAATTGTCATATCAAGAAAGAAAAAACATCCAGAGATACCAGATTCAGACAAACACACAGATGAAGACAACACACGTTTCCTCCATGCTGTTTAATATAGGGGCTTTTGGTCTTCCTTTATACAGTGTGGTGGGAGTGTGAATGGACAAGTAACCTACTGATGTCTTTTACTGTACACACTACTATTGCCATTAAAATAGTTAATTTACATGATGTTATCTGTATATATTAGTGATGTCAGCTAAATTCTTACAAGGCATAGAATATCCACAGTAGTAGGATGTTATAGGACTTTCTATAACCTCCGTATATTCTAATTATCATTACATAGGCTATGGAACATATAGACAGTCAGACAAGGAATAAAGCATATAATAACAATACACATTCAAATATTGACCAAAAAAAACAACCCCAAACACCCCCCACCTCATCCTGTCTCCCCCAAGAAATATTCAGCATCATGTGTGTCTAAGGATATACGCAGTATATAATCACTCAGTCACCCCCCTCCGCCCGCAAACTAACTACACTGACTAAACCTCACACAGCAGGAAGTTCAGGTGTATAATGGGACAGAAATAGAAAACATGTTCGCTGTGAGGTGCAATGACATTCTTGCAGAGAGACTCGCGGTAATAATTGGCCTCCTTCACATTGTGATAATCTTGGAATGGGTTTTGATAAAGTGCCTTATGGTAGAGATAGATCGATGGAAACTCAGATTAAACTTATAATAAATAAATTAATCACACCCTGCTAGAACTGAAGCATTAAAGAAGGCAAATTACTGCAGTGTAAGAGTCCTCAACAAGGACACTGCAGGCCATAATGTTTGTTACCTACTGAATGGAAAAATATAGGGTTTAAATCACTCCAAGGATGTGATTATGTTCACCAAACCCTATTAGGACTAGTAAGTGAAGACAAATGTGTAATACAGGCCTGTTAGAAACACCTGCAAACATATTAAAGCAAAAGACAAAAAGCTTTTGAATATGGAGGCCCGCCAAATCCAGAATAAAAGTTTTAATCTCGGCATACAAGATGACGTCTGGGCACAAGATCATGAGTGATATGCACACAAGATTAAAAAAAAATCAGTACTTTGTGCCTCCTTACTACAATAATAACAATGCACTGCAGTTTAGTAATAAAGGTATCAGACCCTCACATACATGACCACATAATGCAGCTAAAGTGTAGACTGTTGCGTGCGACTGCATAGAGTTAATTGTTATTGATGGTAAATGCAGTCTGTTGAAGCAAGAAATTGTGTGTGCTATACTGACTGACAAAACCGAGTTCACCACGTAGTTCTTCCTTCATCCAGCACCATCATTTGACGTGACTGTGACATAGTTGGGGACACAGAAGAACTAAAGACGATTTCAGCTTGGATTTCTAATTTCTGCCTCTGGGTAGCCAAGGGGGCATGCTCGATGCCGCTCAAAAACAAAACTGACTTGCTCTCTTCACTTGTATTGCAGCAAACTAACTCCGTGTCCAACAGCTAAAATGGCATCCCAAAATATGAGGGCAGAGGATATATTTTACAGTGTTTTGGCTGAATCACAGATTCAGCTGTATTTGAGTATAAGGCCGAAAAAGTGTGTCCGAGCAGCCGAGAGCAGACGGCGACTGGTGGTGCCTTTGCTCAAATTGCCCTCTGAACAGAAACTGAATCAATCTGCGGCAATTAATTTCAGTGTGGGCAGTTTTTTTTGGATGTTGACGCCGGCACCAGAGAGAGCCCTTATGTGCATTGCTAGGTGGGTAGGTAGATTTATTTTGTCACAATACAACAGGTTATGGAGTGAAATTGAGTTTGTAACTCCCTTCTGCTACACAGCAGACAATATACATTAATAAAGAAGATTTTTTGTTTTTGTTGGATGTTGACGCAGGCACCAACCCCGAGAGAGCCCATATGTGCATTGCTAAGTTATGCAAGAAAGTTTTACTACAAACTTGGACTGATGTGTGCTTGAGACCTTCAGGATCCCAAATAGAAATTAGAAAAGACAACCAAGCCCAGCAGGGCCAGGAGGGCAGATGACCTTTAAGTGAGCTATGTATTGGTCAACAAAGTTATAGGCTATGGTATCACTCCCACACGCTGGGACGATGTTGGACTAATGTTGTAATATTGAGGGACAGTGAAGAGAAACTGTGGACGTTCAGCCTCATTTAAAGCCACCTAAATAACGAAGGTAGTAGGATGGATACAGGTAACTGTTTTTTCATGTTGGTTTTTGTGGAACTTTACACTGCAACGCTAGCTCAGCTAGTGATACCTTTGTTATTATACGGAAGCCTGCTGGGTGGGCATGCACGCAATGCATCCTGGTACATAGAGGCACGGCTGGCATTACTCAGAGAGCAGGAGAACTCTGCTTCCACTGTCAATATGGCAAACACTGTGGAATTTATTGCTTCAATTCACTACATTTATCATCAACATTGTCTGGACATTAATGGCGCCAAATCTTCCCTTTAATGGGGTTGAGATGATTTCTGTGATTCAGAACAAGGCATAACTCCTAAACTTCCCTATATCTACTCTTTCCTTTCCTCTGTCACCCTCTGTGCAACAAGAGGTTTGTACAATAGCCTGTGTTTAATGATAGCGGGAGAGTTTGATCGACTGAAATCCAGTACAATGCTGATATACAGCAGTTATCATTTACATGACTTTCATCATCAGAGATTTTGTTTCACAATACATTAATATTGAGAGGAGGAGGCCGCCTCACACATTCTCACACCTGTTCCCTCACAGGAATATATGGCTTTTTTGTGGAATATATGAAAACTGTTTTAGCCTCCTAATCCACTTTTGCAAAGTGGTTCATACAGTCACGAGGTGGTTCATACAGACTAGTGCACAACCCATGATAATGAAAGTGATGATGAGGAAAGGTTATGGATGAAAGTTTAAGTGAGGATAAGACAGTCCTGTCTGTCTAAGGCATTCATTCAGTCGTTTCATGGATCTCAACGCACTGATAATCGCCACTGCTTTTTTGGATCCTCCACATCGATAAAGTGAAAACCAAACACAGACAGGGATTGTAATGATTGTCACTGATGTCTGACAATTACAGAATTTGACCATGTAGCACAAGCACAACTTTTTCTATTCCAGAGTGTGTTTTTTCAACACCATTTAGACTTAAATGTCCATTATTGGCCTGTAGATACATACTGTGGTCAAATTTAGGAGCTGAGATCAATAGCTCTTATCATGGATGACAGGCAACTGCTTTACAGTATTCACAGAAATCATGGCATGTAGAGTTCTCTTTTTAAGGCTCTGCCAGAAATGTCTATTATCTTAGTTAAACTGGTTTCATTTTTGCCTTATCAGCAGGATATCAAACTGAACTGACACTGCAGACTAACAGAACAATCAGTCAGAACTCAGTGGACATACGACACTTTCACATACAATCTCAACTTCAAGTAATTGCTTAAACTTCATAAAGTGAATAATAGTGCAAATTATGCTAACCAAATACTAACAAAAAAAAGATTCATGCTGCTTATTTCTTCACCGAAGAACTAAACAATTCAGTTGGTGTCAGACGATTTTTGCTGGTCGGCTGTTTCTCCATCCACATTTAGCTCATGAGTCTCTGACAGAAATTTTGATTTTACAGTTGCAGGTTTCTTATTTGCCCTTATTACACACAAAGTTAAACATCAGCGCAAGAAAAGCAAACAGGAGAAATTGCCATCAGATGCCACATTCACACAAAGGAAATGCCCTGTTCCTAAACGTGATTACAATCCAGACATCTTATTGATTTTCAGTGTCAACTGACATGTAGTACTCCATGTCTAGAAATGCTTTGCAGAATGATCTGTTAAACAAATAAAGTTCGGTTTATTTGCAGTGTTACTAACTCTTGCACAGTGGACTTGAAAATACAGACTACTGGAGTGACAGTTAAACTACACCACGAGAGCATTAAGTTAGCAGAAATATACAGCACAGATACAGACTGAGCACGACTCACTTCAATCAGATCTACATCAAAGTGTCAAACTGAGCCAGTGAGTATCTACAAACAATTGTAACTTTCCTGTTAGATTTGATGAATCAACGATATTTTCTATGTGTGTTATGTGAAATTAAAGTAACTCAAATTGAGTTCTATTCTTTTCAGTAATTCAATTGTTCAAGAGTTTGCTCTGAATGCAAGTCTCAAGACACAAGAACCAACCATATGGCCAAGTGCAGGGAAAAGTCCACCCTAAATCATAATGCCCATGTTGTTCTCATTATGCTCTCTCATAGCCTGATAACCAAGAACAAAGAGTGTGATGAAAAGATATGAAAAAAGGAACACAAATAAAAGAGAAGTGTTGTTAAAGAAAGAAATTGTCCCAGCATGTAACTCCCCCCCAAAACAAGTTATTTTTACACTTTGTTGCCATGGATTGTACAAACAAGATTTAAGGTGCTGATATGTGGATTTTGGACATAGCTGGGACTAGCTGTTTCCCCTTGCATCGTGTCTTTATGTTAAGCTAAGCTAAAAGCTGGCAATAGCTTTAATATTTAGTGTACATACAGTAGGCCTACATACATGAGAGTGGTATTGATATTGTCATCTAACTTTTTGCAAGAAATCAAAAAAGCACATTTTCCAAAATGTCTAACTATGCATTTAATGGTTGACAGAAACAGTCAAGGAGTAGAAAATGTGTAGGCTGTGGCTGTAACTGCACAGTCAAAACCCAGAGGGATGCTGCAAATTAAGAAGACCTGGAGAAAACACATTAACAGTTTGGTTAGAGTCATAAAATGTGCTGCATTTTTTTGCTCACTTGGATTAATCTGTAGATTTGCAGATTGATTATCTGGGGACGAACTTTGTGGATTCACTGAACTTTAAGGTTTGGCATCTGAATCAGCTTTGTTTCTGGATTTCTGGAGATGTAATGTATACTCTCAGGGTAGAAACACACCGCCAATGTCAGCTAAATGGAGCCACAAGAGCCCATTCATTTCATATGAGAAGCAACAAATCCCTCGCAGGACCTCACCTTATTAATGACTTTATTTAGAATTGGGAAGATGGGCAGTGAAGTTTTATTTCTATCACAGCACAGTATCAGTCAAGACGACAGCCAGCCACAACATTGGAAATCTACTAAAGAAATGCACTTTTTACATTTTCCTGCCAAAAGTGAAATATCAAAGTTTTACAAACAAGAAATAGTTCCATCACCTAACTTCCACCAAGCTATTCAAACTTGCTTCCAGTGCTTTGCTTAGCTAATCAACTGCTGGCTCCTTAGGCAGCGGTCAGATGCAGCTGAGGTGCCAATGCTGTGGCAAAAAACGAAGGGTTGTCTTGCCAAAACGTCAAGCTTGGCTCAACTTTAGCCGCACTGCATTGGCCAGTCACACATGCACAAGCATACACTTCTGGTAGATTACTTATTAAGAAGAATGCTATATTTCTACTGGTTACCTCACGATCATCGATCAGAGTAATAAAATGTTATGCAAATTGCTGTGAGTGTTTTGGCATCTCATAAGCCTTCAAACTTATGAATCTGTTACTCAAACTGAATTTCCTAGATCCTATTTCATATCTCACTGGAATCTGAAACAACACACCCCCACCATCACAGCCCCTTACAGGGCTGTTTTTGCTCTGAATGCCCTCTGTGTCTGTCATGGTTGCATCAATGGGGACCCGCAGGGAACTGTCTTGGTTCTCTTCCTCTTCACACTCTACACTGCAGACTTCATGCACAAGTCAGCTAACCACCACCTGCAAAAGTTCTAGGACAACTCCTCAACTGTCTGCCTCAGACAGATTGGGACGACAGAGAGTACAGAGAACTGGCCCAGGGCTTTGTGGATTGGTGCCAGTGGAACCGCCTGCAGATCAATACAGTAAAACTGTAGAGCTGGTGATAGACTTCCACAGGTGCAAAAACTCCTCCTATACCAATAAACATCCATGGAGTGGACATGATGGTGAAAACATACAGGTATCTGGGCGTTCACTTGAATAATAAACTGGACTGACAATACAAATGCACTACGTAAGAAAGGCCAGAGCAGACTCTTTCTCCTGAGGACCTTTTTTGACTCTGTGGTGGCATCAGCCATATGGAGTGGTCTGCTAGGACAGCAGCATCTCGACTGCTTACAGGAAGGATGACCCTCAACCCAGGACAGAGCTAGAGCCCAAGTGGAGGTGGCGGGAGGAGGAGAATGATGGCTAAGCTTTCATCCCAGACTGAGAACATGTCCCACCCCAATGCAGTCTAACAGCACTGGGCAGCTCATTCAGTGACAGGCTGCTTTACCCGCAGTGGTTTAAGGAGAGATAAAGCAGGTCTTTCCTGCGGCTGTCAGATTTTACAATCAACACTGCTCCCAGTAGACCACACACCAAACCTGACTTTGCAATATGAACAAATACTAAACTGCAATAATGTGATTTAAACTGTCGAGTCTGTTTATTTATTATATCTTGCTTTTTTATTGATGCTTCGTGCTGCTGCAACACTGCAAATTTCCCTGCTGTGAGATTAATAAAGCATTATCTTATCTTCATGGCATTGGTTCATGGATCTTGGCAGGCTTGCTGCGGTTTGTTTTGGTGTGTTTCTACCCTTAGAATGAACATAATTTTGTGTCTATGTTGTTGTTTCTCGTTAGTAGACAAGCTCAGTGTTTTTAGTCTTGAAGGTGTCAAAGACTCAAAGATATGCCCACACTGTGTGCAGCCATAGGAAACGATTGAATTCTCAGTAAGGGCAGATTTTTCCTCTGTCACTGGTCAGTAATCAGAGTATAGCTCATCTTCTGCAGACGAGACCATTTGGTTATACATTTACTCGGTCACCTACACGTGAACATGTCAGAATTGAGTCAGACTGGTAGGTTGACAGATCAATGACCCTTTCACATTTCCCTGCATTAAAAAACAAAACAATCAGCATTAAACATCCAAGCATAGATCATTCATTTCAAACAGCTCATTTAGTTTTGCACAAGTCATTTGTATTAGCAGACATCTTGGTAGCAACAGCAAGGACCAGTGGGTGAGAGACATTAAGGAGCAGGACCAAACAGAACAGAGTTTACCAGTCAGAAATCTTAGTCATAAATGCACATTTGCTGTTCCCGATGCTCCCCTCTGCTATTAATCTTGATGAGAAATGGCAGACGGGAGGTTGTTCCTCTTGCTCTCCTCACATTACAGGTATTTTCCTACAAGCTAAGGACCTAGACCTATACAGGAGAGATCGAAGTTAAGGATAACAGAGGTGTTGAACAGATTCTCTCTTATATCAGTGATCCGCCCAGGTCTCCCCCGCCTGCGGGGTAATGCCTCAACCCACCTCCCCTGCGCAGCGAGTGCAGCGCCACAGTGCAACAGCCTCGCAGCAGCGACCCTATATGATACATGGGCTGTCCACCACGGACTGGACCGCGACAGAGCCATGCAACTGTTGGCACCACAGGGATGGCCACTGCTAGCAGATCAACCAGGAAGTGACGACTCCAGTAGCTTTTCTGAATTGTCCCAGAGCCAGACAAATTTCCCTCCTCTGCTGTGTCGCCCCCAGTGGCACCTTGTTCTTCAGTTTCATCTTCATCGTCCTCATCATGCAACTCCACTACAATGACACCAGCTATCTCCTCATGGGAGGTTGATTTCCTCGGCTGGGAGGTGTGAGGCTGTTCTATCTCTGGTGATAATCCAGGCCGACTTGGATGCAGCTCTGCTGTCTCTACATGGGTTGATCTTGCTGGCAGATCTATGTCTTCTACGCTGAGGTTTTCAAGTGTTGTCCTACCCTGTCTGCTTTCTCCACAGCATCCTCCAAACTTCCCAGCTGATGTCTCTGCTAAATCGCACAGTTTTTCTGGTGCTGCCTCCTCCACTGCACCCTGAACTTCCACCTCATTTCCTCCCACTGAGCTAATCTGTGCCTGCAGCCCTTCATCTGCCAGTCGGATCCCTGTTGTTTCCTCCTGCTTCTCTGTTGCTGCAGCATCCTTCTCTCTCTTCTCTTTCTCCTGCTTTTCCTCTTCCTCCACTCCCTCTTCCCCCCCACACAGGGGAGTTTCCATTGAACACGCCACAGTAGCAGACCGTGGCATGGGATGGACCAGAGGTGTTTTGGAGACCGGGATCGGCTCTGTTGCTGCACTCATGACCGTTGCTGTGGTTGCTGATGTTGTGGTGATAGAGTCCAGCTCCTCCTCCCCCTCATCAGACATCCAGGTGGAGGTGGGGCTGCAGGCCTGGGAGCGAAAAGTGCGTTGCTCCGCAATGGTATCCAAATCAGAGGGGCCACCTGCTGTTGCAGGGATGGGGCAGCTTTCCGTCTGAATGCCCATCTCCCGCAGGGGGTGCAGATAGAGGTGGTGGTGGGACAGGCAGGGATGGCTCATACAGCCCCCTCCACCCAGGCCACAACGAAAGGGCACCAACCGCTCGCCTGTGCACAGCTTCTCATAGGTGGAGGAGTGCGGCATAGTGTGGGGCACAGAGTGGGACAAATTATGAGGGAAAGAATGAGGTAAGGTATGGGAGAAAGTGTGAGGCAAAGAGTTGGGCAGAGAGTTGGGCAGAGAGTTGGGCAGAGAGTTGGGCAGAGAGTTGGGCAGAGAGTGGGAAAAGGTCTGCGTGTAGGAGTTGAGTAAAGATGCCGTTTCCTCAGAGAGGAAGGCGGCCTCCAGCAGCAGGTCGGCTCGGCTGGGGATGCTGCTCTCCCCACAGCACACAAAGCCACTGTCCTGGGTCCCATCACCTGACAAACAAGGAAAGTCCCATTGCCGTTCCGGTCCGCCAGCGCCTGATCACTCAGCTTAGTGTAGGTGGAGCTCCGGGTCAGAGATCGGGCTGGGGAACCATCGCAAGAGCAAGACCCTCTCCCTCCTACAGCTGGTTTGGGTATTCCTCCTGGACTTTCCCCTGATACTGATGCCGGTGCCGAACCCCCAACACGGGTTCGGCAGCCTGGTATGGCTTCCCCCTCCTTGGCTAATCCAGCCTGGGCTAGCTCCATGTTAAGCAACAGGTTCTCAAGCTTGTGGTTCTGAGTATTGATGTCCTGGAAGTACTTCTGGACCCCTATGTCCCCGCTGAGTCCCCCAGCATCACTGAGCCTGGCACGAACAGTGTCCACAGCTTCTTTGAGCTGCTGTATCTCCTGACGAGCCTCCTTTAGGGCCAGCTGAGCCTCTACACGGTGACATTCCTCCTCAACCCAGTCCTCCTGCATCCTGTAAAGCTGGCCTCTCAGTGCATCTATCTCTGTGTCCCTGAGAGGGTGAAAATGAAGAAGAGACAAAGGAGAAATAAGGAATAAATAAATTATATTAGGGTAATATTTACAACCCCAATTCCAATGATGTTGGGACGTTGGGTAAAACGTAAATAAAACCAGAATGCATTGATTTGCATCTTTCAGCCTAAATTCAATTTAATACACTACAAAGACAAGATATTTAATCGTCAAACTGATAAACGTTGTTGTTTTTTGCAAATATTTACTCACTTTGAATCTGATGCCCGCAACATGCTCCAAAATAGCTGGGACAGGGGCAACAAAAGACTGGGAAAGTTGAGGAAACACCTGTTTGGAACATTCCACAGGTGAACAGGTGAACTGGAAACAGTGTCATGATTGGGTATAAAAGGAGCATCCCCGAAAGGCTCAGTCATTAACAAGCAAGGATGGGGGTGAGGTTCACCACTTTGTGAACAGCTGCGTGGCAAATAGCCCAACAGTTTAAGAACAACGTTTCTCAACATACGACGAGAGAATCTGGAGAAATCTCTGCACGTAAACGCCAAGGCCGAAAACCAACATCGAATGCCCGTGACCTTCGATCCCTCAGGCGGCACTGCATTAAAAACCGACATCAATGTGTAAAGGATATTACCACATAGGCTCAGGAACACTTCAGGAAACCATTGTCAGTTAACACAGTTCGTCACTACATCAACAAGTGCAAGTTAAAACTCTACCATGCAAAGTGAAAGCCATATATCAACAACACCCAGAAACACCACCGGCTTCTCTGGGCCAGAGCTCATCTGAGATGGACTGACGCAAAGTGGAAAAGTGTGCTGTGGTCTGACGAGTCCACATTTCAAATTGTTTTATGGACATCGTGTCCTCTGGGCCAAAGAGGAAAATGACCATCCGGATTGTCATCAGCGAAAAGTTCAAAAGGCAGCATCTGTGATGGTATGGGGGGGGGGGGGGGGGGGGGCTGTTAGTGGGTAACTTGCACATCTGTGAAGGCACATTAATGCTGAAAGGTACATACAGGTTTTGGAGCAACATATGTTGGCATCCAAGCAACGTCTTTTTCAGGGACGTCCCTGTTCATTTCAGCAAGACAATGCCAAGCCACATCCTGCACGTGTTACAACAGCGTGGCTTCGTAGTAAAAGAGTGCGGGTACTAGACTGGCCTGCCTGCAGTCCACACCTGTCTCCCACTGAAAACGTGTGGCGCATTATGAAACACTAAATACGACAACGGAGACCCCGGACTGTTGAGCAACTGAAGTTGTACATCAAGCAAGACTGGGAAAGAATTCCACCTACAAAGCTTCAACAATTAGTGTCCTCAGTTCCCAAATGCTTATTGAGTGTTGTTAAACGCGGAAAGGTGATGTAACACAGCGGTAAACATGCAGGCATCAAATTTGAAGTGAGTGAGTATTTGCAAAAAACACTACAGTTTATCAGCTTGAACATTAAATATCTTTGTGGTGTATTCCATGGAACATAGGTTGACAAGGATTTGCAAATTTGTATTCTGTTTGTATTTACGTTTTACACAACGTCCCAACTTCATTGGAATAGGGGTTGTAGGGAACAAGTAAAATGTAAGAACTGACTTTCTGGTCAATATTGATAATCTCTATTTCTTTTTCAGTATCTCACCTGTCTTGCAGAGTGTTGATGGTTTCCTTTAACCTGGCCCGCAGGTGTCGGATACACACCTCTTTCTGCTGCAGGGGTGTGAGGTACTGCTCTGGTGGAGGGGGCCGGATACCATGGTTGTCTGTGCATGACGTGTACTTCTGAAGACGTCTAGTACAAAAGCATATGAGAGGTGTTTATCAGAGTTCTTTACAACTGGGCAGTAAATCCAAAATAGTGAGTTAAAAGACACTAAAACACTCCATAGGGCTGAGGGGAACTGCAGAGTGGGGTGATCATTCTCTGTAGGTTTGTTACTACGAGCAACACCTTATACATTACATGCAGTTGTTTGATCCACTATTATTATATAAAAAAAATGATTAAAAATACTGAAAGTACTACACTTTTGAGGAAATCAAGGAGGGTAAATCATTTTGCTCGTGTTAAAAAGAAACAGGGAAAAACTTTACATTTAGAGCCTGCTTCCAGACCTCTGTATTGCCACCCACATCATTTTTTCAGCGATTTAGATGATGAAGTGAAAATGAAATGGCAGTTTAGTCAAATTATCAGGCTAATAAAAAGACAGCTAGGGAATGGGAATAGAAATAAGTGTTGTAGGATTCAAATCAAGCCAAATGTAACAGGAATTAAGATCTGATTTTCACTGAGGCGCGGAAATCACAAAGTTTCAATTTCTATTTGCACCTTTCATGTTTGGTATAAAAAGAGTGGAATTAATCATTCTAGGGAGTGTTTTAGACAAGAACACTGAGTTGGAGAAGCTTCTAATTATTTGAATTACTGAATGGGCCATGGAGTTTCTGATGTCTTACCCTTTGGTGGGGCTGCAATCACTGCCTTTACAAGAGCCTGAGTTGCTGCTGCTGCTGATGGAGGTGTTGCCATAGGGATCTCTATTACTGGGTGCAGCCGGCGTCCGCCTGGTCCAAAGTAAGAGGAAACATGTTAATCTGTTCCTGGTAACACTATGAATCCACACTCCAGACAATGAGGTGACTGTCAATTCTGTTAGCTGTTGAGCAAAACCATCATCATTCTGTTCAAACACACAATTCAAAATACACATGAATAGAGCAAATGTTAATCCAGGTCCACTAACATGCCAATACACCGTGTACACAAAAAGGCACAAGTATACACAGACACATTACAAATACAAAAAAGTCAGTGCCAACAGACAACAGTTGTGCCTTCCAAACAAGGACACACGCTCCTTTGGGCACTGACAGTGATTTTTCAAAAAGATGATGTGCTCTGCAAAGATGAAAACAGAAACCAAAAATCAAAACACACTCGATGATATAACTTCAAGAAGCATTCATCAAAAGAAATAAAGTGAGGAAAGAACAAAGAGAAAAGAAGAAGGGAGTAACAGGTCAGACTAGACATGATGCTATGGAAACAATTCTCCCATTGTTTTCTATTGTAACATCATGAAACATTAACAGTGCAAAGGGTCTCATCATTCCCATGCGTCAGAGAGTCAACACTGATGGTGGAAAGAAGAGGGACAGACCGAGAACGAGGGGTTGAGGGAGAGTTTGTTGAACGGCTGTGGCGATCCGGAGACTTTGTGGAAGTGTATCCTTTAGTCGGCGACTTGGTCGATGCATAGCCTTTAGTCGGGCGCATTGAGACCATATAGCCTGTCTCCATGGGAACGTAGTCTAGTTCTATGAACCTGCAGTAGTCAAACCTGACCAGGCAGAGACAACAGGGTGTTAAATCACAGAGGACAGCACAGGACCACACCAGAACGATACAATGTGAAGTGTGTGCACACTTTACCACTGAGGCGAGACAAAGCTGTTCGGCACATAGCATTTCTTAGGGTTCGTCTAATTCATTCAGCGCCTGAGCTGCGGGCAGGCAGATGCTAGATATCAACAAGCACTCACAAACACTGAAGGGGCCCAAGAGATGTGGCTCTCTAAAAGCTTTACAAAAGGAAATACAGATAGCTCTGCTTTAATAGTTAGGCTTTTCTCTTATGCTTCCCACATGAAACATCTATGCAAAGCAACTATGATGCCTTTACTGGCACAGAACACAGCTAACGCTCTGCATCCTGAAAGACAATTCACAAGAGATAAAATGTTCTGAGGTGATTAGAGGGGAGCAGCAGCAAAAGCCTTAGCATTTATTCCTAAGTGCCTTCCTCACTCCACCAAACAAGCTTTAGGTAGACATTAAAGACAATCATAATCAAACATAAATTCAACCTCTGACACATCTGATACAAACCAAAATAATATCCATGACAGTACAGCGCAACATCACAAATATCAGGACATTTTACATTTGCTTGCTAAAATCTGGATGGGCTTTAAAGGACACACAGGTCCATTTGATTGTCAAAATGATGCCAGCTGTGAAATGTTTGTCTTTCTCTCCACACACTGCCAAAAAAATATGTTTTTCTTCTTCTTCTTCTTCTGTAGAATACCCACTGCTGAAAGTAACTATGAACAAGTTGCTCTCTGATTGTTCCTCTGCCCATAATATAGACAACCTCATCCTGCACTGTGCGAACGTATTACAACACTTTGGTAATTATGCTTATTCGCTTTTGTGCCGAGATCTATGACTCTCTCATTTCGGTCTGTTAGATGTGTAGCTAGAGACTGGAAGCAGGTAGGGCTTAAGTAAAATATACAAATGTCACATTTAACTATTGCTACTATCCTGCTAAAGAAAACAAAGTTGTTGAGTAGCACAGTGCAGTTATATCAGTGGTAGCCAGGAAAAGGAACGATGATCTGTGATGGGCAACTTCTTCTAAGACATTCCTTGCTGATATCGTAAGGTTTTATGATCAGTGATATTGACATACTAAATGTTGTAATGACCTGCTACTTTAAAAGGACATGTCTGTTGCCCAATCACTGGCCTCTACAGAGGGAGGAAGGGACAAGCAGGACCAATCAGAGCAGCCATGAGGGATTTTCACACAGGACACGGTAACTCCATGCCACTTCACTGAAATCCAAAACATGGACACAGTGTTGCAACCAACTCAGTGTCTTTATACTTGATAAAGTATAACAAAAACAAAAATCCAAATCAACTTCAAGTGAGACTATGTAACTTGTGAAATAAAAAAATAAAAAATTCAATCTTACAAATGAAAAGTTTAATTCATAAGCCATAAAACACACTGTTGCTCAAGTAAATACACTCAGGGTGCTTTGGCCTCACATGGTCTGGTCTGACCAGTAGCTTCTAGTGGCAAAATCTTACCTAATGCCAGCAAACCTTTGCTTGTCGTTATGGAGTCAGTTTTTTTGACATTTGGTTTTAGCATTAAGCTGCTGCTCTGAAAAAGTTTAAGTCAATTTAAGTCTGAGGTTGTATATCGATGTTAAAGCAATAACAACCTGCTGGAAGCACAATTCCAATTAAATGGGCAAAATATGTTAAATAACTCACTGGACACAGTTTGCAGGTGTTCAACATTACAAATGGTCACTAATATTTGACACACAATATGTGTAATTCTTACTTCTTTGTGAACATCCATACATGTACATTTATTTTATTCATGCTACCCCAACTTACTCAACTTTCTAGCAAGAGTTGTGCTGAGTAAACGTGTCCTGTGTGATACAATAAGGGAGGAGGCCAGATATTGACTACTCAGTAGTTTTCAAAGATCAATATATGACAAAAGCCAAGACAGAACAGAAACAGGCAGGAAGCAGCTGAAGCAGTGAGCCTCAAGAGGGTACACAGTACACAAGTGTTTCAGGATTGACAGTCGTTCCCATCCATCTGCTGGGATGGAACCTGTGACTGGACTGTGGGTGGTGGGTGACAATGTGGTGGAGGTAGCCGTAGGTGGGCTGTAGGTGCTGAGAGTTGCCCAGGAGTCAAGTGTTGGTAAATGTGAGTGGCTGCAGTATAGAAATATAACTTTATTCTGTGGTTTGTGTCTGGTGGAGACAGAGACTTTGCTCGAGAAGCTGAAACCATTTTAGATAAACCATATCTAATTTTGAAATAAACCAAAATAAACCAAAAAGCACATTCTCATTCCAGGCAATGTCGGTGTCTCACCGACTCTCTGCTGTGGATTGAGCAGCTGTGGTGAACCAGTGATCACTTGTGATCACAGTATGCTTCCACAGCACAACATCAGCACTATTACTACCTTGCATGTAGCCGCTAAACACAACCTGATGCTAATGAAAATTGACATAGAACCAGGACCAAATGGAGTTGCAAATCCTCCATTTCTAGTGCATGAGTGTACATCAGGGTTTCCTCTGTTTTTTCCTGCCGGAACATCAATAGACTCAGGGGTGATGTGACCCAACAACACACACTCCCCAAACACAAGTCTGTGCTGTTTGCATTTGCTGATGCCAACTTCTAAGCTGAATATGAACAATGAAAGCTCCAGTTGGGATCTCATTGTTATTGTATAGTGAAACTCTGACTTCACTGCAAAGTCTGAAGGACATTTGTTACATTTCAAACTCAAATCAGCACTGCAGCAATTGACCGTTCACTAAACCCCGCCCTCAAACAGTCATTGGCCGTCATAGTTTAGCAACTGCCTGTAAGCATGGCAGGCCTGTCAAGCCTTAGATTTCTTCTTGGATGTTGCATAAGGGCTCAAATGAATAAGATACTCTGCATTTAAAGAGTTTGGATGGTCATTTTGTTATTTGTCTTTCAAGGAATGGATTAAACAGTGTGTTTACCTAGCTAGCAAGTTTACTATACATTAGTAACTGACTGTTCTTCAAAGGTCATGGTGCTAGTTAACTAGGCCACAATAATGGGTGGGGTATTTTCCCAGTGTGTGGAAGCTGGTCATGGATGTTATTAGAGTTTAGGCTAACATCAACAGTTCTGTCCTGCTCTTCAGTGTATATGGGGAAGTTTACAATACAGCATCCACAGTCAGCGTTAATCGAGGCTACATCCACACTACTACGTTTGTGTTTTAAAAAAACTTAATGAGTAAAAAAAAAAAAAAAAAAGATCTCCGTCCACGGCAACATTTTAGCTGCAGAACGGATCTCCATCTATATTAAAACAACTGAAAATGCACTAGAAGTGGCTGTCAGTGCCAAATCTGTACTGCCTGCCAGATCTGTTCTGCACATGAGCAGAAGTGGTTCTGTCAGTCAAAGAAGTTTACCGCAAATGTACCTAGTCAAAATGATCCAACTAAATCTTTAAAATTAAGATAACAAAATGTTTTTAATCACTGGAGATGAAACTATTTCATATGATCAATGGTAATAGGAATATACTTAAGATAAGAAAAACCTTATTCAACAGTACATTTTTAATTTATAACAATTACAACAATCTAACAATGTAGTAACACAAAGGAGGCTAACCTTAGCTGCTAGCAGGCCGATATCAGTCTGACTTACATGCCTACAATTGCTGACTTAGGTTTATGCACACACCCCTGTGATGTTAGAGTTAGGGTAAGGGGCTTTGGGGAGCTGTCAACGCCTTTTATACTAACATAGCTAGCTACCTAGCTAGCTACTAGCGCTCTCGGTCTAAACAGGTCTTTTTTTTGTGCATGGACTGACAATAAGATAGCCTGGAGTTTTAAAGTGAAAACGGGTTTGTCAGCGTTTCCAGACTTCACTGTTTTAGGTGTTCGGATTTGTTGTTTTAGTCTGGACGGGAGGTGTAAACGTAGCAAAAGTGCTGTGTTTTAAAACAAAAATCTGGTTGTGTGGGTGTAGCCTGAGATATTGTTACATTTGCCAAGCACAGTGGTTAGTTCTTAAAATGCTTCTTTATTTCCATGTCTTTTACATGAATCATCAACCTGTGAGGATATGTAAATACTTTTTATCTGGGACATGACTCAGTTTGTTAGCATGAAGTCGGCCTGAGATAGAGTCTTAGCTATTTAGCTATTGATACAGTTGATAAAACTTTACAGCTACAGTTGTCATTTCAGCCGGCAAATTGATAGAAAGGGGTACACTGCTTTTGTCTACCTGTTGGAAATCAAGGACCCTTTGTTAAAAAAACATTGCTGTGAATTTTGGTGGAAAATCCGCCAACATCATATGTGCCATTCTAGGACGTAAAGCTAAACAAGTGTAGTAACAGTAACTAAGGGGGCGGTGCATAGCAAACGGACAATTGGAGAATTGAGGGAAAACCATGTCTAATTAAGACAGGTAGCGTAATTTTTGCCTGTGTGCTGTCGTTGGTCTTGTTTCAGTGGCTACAATGCATGGCGGAGCTGCAGCTACCGCTACGGAGCATGCTCTCTGAGACTGTAACTGAAGTAAGTCTCACGCAGGGAGCGTGGGCACAGGAATGGCCACCGGCGCTGTGGCCCCTGGCGCAGCTGTCCCTGTCCCTGTCCCCGACCCGGACGCCGGCTTGGGCACTGGGACGGGCGAGGACGCCAGTATTTGCTGCAAGCGGCGTTTGGGCTGCAGCACCTTCAGAGGGTTGAATCTGAGGAAAAGAGACGAGAGAGAGGAGGACACCACAGCCACAGATTGAACCGTAGCTACATCTTACCAATAACACCACTACAACCAGACATGTTGGTTTCAGTTCAGGAGGGCATTTATCTGTCTGTGACCCACACATAAACCTGTGGTTTGCTGCATCAGGATGAGACTACTGTTAAAAACAATTTAACTCACTTGACACACAGTTATAAGTGGATTTGGGGCAATATACAGTAAACCTACTTAGGTGGTGATTTTTCAGCTCTCCAGCTAATAACACCAAAATGTCTCTCCAGTGTATTTAAGTAGTGACCACTGTTTTCAAAACTGGTACACATTAATAAATCAGTACCCAGCAATCATATAGTGTAAATTAGGTATAAAACATACATTCTGTATGCAACATTATTGCATCATTTGCACTGCAAAGTCAGAACATTAAAGTCAGAGCCTATATGACTTAATGGATGTGGGAAATGTCATCACTGGTCCCTGTAGACAATGAAACCTCAATAACACTTATCCTTTAACTACTGTCCAGTAAACAGGCAAAGGAAGTCCAGCAGCTGTAGGAGGAAACACATCAATATACTTAATATACCATGTTCAGGTTGCAGTAAACTTGCTGTTCACTGGTCAGCCTGTGGGAAGTGGCTGACTGCATCTACTTTATTTTAAACCCATCTTCTTGTGAATAATATCACGGCTCCTCCAGCAGGATCATTAGAGCTAACTGAAAAAAGTACAGAAACTAATAGGGGTAAAATCCTGGCACAACCATGACTGCAACAGAGAGAAAGAGAGAGAGAGCACTGAGTAAGAGTTGAGGGTAACACTTTCCAAAATGGCAGCCCTTTGGAGTTTTTAGGTTGTAAGTCACTATTTTATTGATGTTAAACTAATTTACTAATGCTTTATATATGAGTTATATACCTTAGGTTAGAAAAAAATTTGGGTTGCCAGGCTGTGAAAAATCGACAACACCATTCTTCTCTCCCACCTTGAATGCTCCCTCAACATCACTGGTACTGCCCTCTCGTGACTAAGACCATCTCTCACAAATAGACAACATTTCAAAATCATCAATATCAACAACTGCACCTCCTCTACTGCTCCCATGTCCCAAGGTGTCCCCCAGGGTTTGGTGCTTGGTCCGCTCCTATTTGTCCTGTACATTCTCCCCCTTGGTAACCTCATTCACCATTATGGTCCCCACTTCTGCTGCTATGCTGATGACGTCCAGCTCTACATCTCTACAAAATCCATCACCACTACAACTCCCTCCACTCTGACAAACTGCCTCCCTGAAATAAAATCACAGATGCAAGCCAACTTCCTCACTCAACCGTGACCACATCACCTCCAGGACCTTCACTGGCTCCCTGTTCCACAATGGATCCAATTCATAATCCTTGTCCGCACTCACATTTATTATTATTAAGTGTCCTGCTGGAGGAGGATAAACACCAGCCAGAGAGATTTTTCACAACCTGGCAACCCAAAATATGTTCTTATAAATGGTTAATACCTGACACTGATAAAGCTTTAATAAATGATTTGTTCCATCATAAAGCCATTGTTTACAACAGGCCCCTAATTAAAAAGTGGGACAGAGTTGGATAAGAGTTCTTAAAACAACCGGTTCAATTGGAGATAAGCTGTGCTCAGAAAGTGTTAAGTTTAGTAATAATCATGCACATACACAGCACACGCAGTAGTCGTTTACAAAATTTTACTACTTCTGGAAAGATCAGGAGAAGATCTGGCAAGGAGCAACATAACCGAGCTGCAGAAAAATCATTGACACTTTACAAAGGCTGATAAAAGGAAGAGAACATTTTGAAAATCCACCTGGGTCTGTATTTATCAAGCATCTCAGAATAACTCCTTGGAGTCATGCTGAAAGTTAACCTAAGACCATAAACACTGGTCTTGAGAGTGAGACCCTAGAGTATTTTACAAAACTTTCAGCCGCTGAGAGAAATGATGATGTTGTCTTATAGTTTTCTGACAGTTTACCTTTCATAGGACATAAGACAGTGGTTGTATGCCAACATTTTATGTATAGGCATTTATGTGTAGCCTGTAAGTAAGCCAGTTAAATGCCGGTTAAAAGTAGAAGGTGACTTAACTCAGCTACTTGGCGTATCTATAGGTTTATAATACCTATATTAATACTGCATCTTGCATATATTGTGCAGTATTGTACAGTATGTGTGCCAATGATGTTGCAAAGCTGGGCTGTGCACACTCCATGGAGAACACTGAATCCTCTCTTCCACTGTCCAATACCCCTTTCAACAGCACTCCTTGTTAACTTCTGTGTGCTTATAGGTAGGGAACATTTTGTTTCTTCCGTAATGTATCCTTATATTGGGTAACAATATGAGCATGCAGAAATTATTTAAAATGTGCTTTTTTGGAGATGTTGTAAATGCTATCATGGTTTCTTTCTATTCTGCTGTAATTTGTGGTTGTTATAGACTCAAATCATCACTGCTGCCAAGCTACATTTTCCTCTTTATTTTATTAGCATGCATTCTCTTTTGAAACCTCCACAAGGTCAGTCACAAAAATGATTATTTTTTTCCCCAAAAAGGTATCTATCAATAAACTCATTGTCAATATACTCAACACACACGTTTCTGCCTTCATATTCTGGTGTGTACTAAATATCATAAGAGACGAAAGTTGAAATGTTTTTACTTCTTGTCCCAAACGTAGGACCAAAGTTACATTGCATCACTGTAAGAATTTTTGGCCAGTTTGGACTGATGTCCTACTCTAAGACATTTGATAAAAACAGGTTCTGGTCCCTTCACACAGCAATATACAATAATGGAGGATAAAACTACATGTACATTCTTTTCAACTGTGGTTATCTTACATTGCACTGACTACTGAATAAAAAGTGAACACTGTCACAATAAAACAACACCGCTAACATGTCCTCATTGACTACCTACCGGCGAGAGCCCAACCCAGACCTCCGATTGCCTGGAGCAGGGGCAGACATGTGGACGGACAGCCTCTTGTGCAACCTCTAGCTTCTTCTGTCCTCACTTTGTCTCTGGTCTTCAGCCTGGAGGAAAACAGACATGACCAGTGAGGGACCACATGCACTTAGATACAGACACCCAGGAAGAAGAGAGAGCGGTCAACAAAAGCAATGACAGTCTGAGAATAACAAAAAAACGTGTTTGTTGAGATCTCACACACACACACACGCACACACACACACACGCACACACACACACACACACACACACACACACACACACGGGATGAGTTTTGCTGACTGCTCTGAAGGCCTCAGCATGCAGCATGGTGCTGCTGACTCAAGCTGACACTTAGCTGGCATCAGGGTTCAGCAGACAATCACCTTCCAGCCATGTGGAAGAACTAACCAATCATCACTTATCATTCTCATCTCGGACCAAATATCACTGAGAGTGGCAGAAGAGAGCAAAGGTGACATTTGCATCTGCATCTGTATGTGAGGAGAAATATCTGTCCGTTTGTCTTGTGAGGTGTGCGTTTGTTCATGCGTGTGACGTTGCGTGAGAGCTCTCATGTGCAGAGAGATGAGGACAGAGCGTCTAATAAATATTTAATCATTACCCCTGTCTGTGGCCTAACAAAGTTCATCCTGGCATTAGGTTGCTGGAAAGGCCAAATGCAAATTGTGAGATAACGATAGAAGGAGGAAGCAAATGGAGGGGAAACTAGTAGGATTATTCATATCAATAATACATCACACACAACTTAGTGGGCTCTTGAGTGCCACATTTGTGTATGTGAACAAATGCAAAGCACCTGCTGTAAGTCATTTTCCTGCTGTCACACCTCTACATGCTGTGTTGTCTCTCTGCCAGTGAATTGGCACATAGGTTGATTAAAAGCCTCTTTAATACTATAAAGCTACCTCTTGTATAACTTTATCCTTATCTGATATCTGCTTTAATTCTTCAAGCCTTGTTCCTCTGCTCTCTATCGTTTCAGGTTTTACAGTATTACAGCTTTGATGAGATTAGAAAGAATGAACCGATGCCAGATGGGGGAACTGTGTGTCTGTGTGTATGAGTCTTATATGCTACGTCTTATTCACAGTGCTCGTTTTAAAGGGGAACTCCTCTAATTATGGGACTACTACACAGCCTATGAACAAATGTAAACAAAGTTGAATATTGTTGTCGAGTCTGTGAAACGAACCTACATATAATTTGAAATTTGATTCAGAAGTTTTCAGGGGGTCCTAGGGGTTAATTAAGAGGGCCAGGACCCGCCATATTTTGCACACTGTTTTGAAGCCTGATCCCTATTGAAGACTAAAAACGAAATTTCTAAATATCTGGAGTACACAGGACACATTGAAGTCCTTTTTGCTGCTGATGGCGTATTATACACACAAATAGCCTTGTGGCAGGATCTTTGTGGGGACCCGTCATTGACATAATGCATTCCCTAGCCCCTAACCTTAACCATCACAACTACATGCCTAACCTAATTCTAACCTGAACCCTAAAACCAAGTCTTGACCCTCAAAAAGCCCTTTAAACTTGTGTTTGGGGTCCAGCATTTTCCATTCCATATTGTGGTTGGACCCCACAAGTATAGTGGTCCCCAAGAATATAGCAAAACAAGCCTACCCTGGTACCTAGGGTGGTATGAGGGCCCGACGTCCACAGGTGGGGGTTGTGCTTACAGCCCAACACCGTGCAGGATGTTTGGTATTTGCCAGAGAACACCAAGATTGGCAAATTCGCCACTGGCGCCCTGTGCTCTTCACAGATGAAAGCAGGTTCACACTGAGCACATGTGACAGACGTGACAGAGTCTGGAGACGCCGTGGAGAACGTTCTGCTGCCTGCAACATCCTCCAGCATGACCGGTTTGGCGGTGGGTCAGTAATGGTGTGGGGTGGCATTTCTTTGGGGGGCCGCACAGCCCTCCATGCGCTCGCCAGAGGTAGCCTGACTGCCATTAGGTACCGAGATGAGATCCTCAGACCCCTTGTGAGACCATATGCTGGTGCGGTTGGCCCTGGGTTCCTCCTAATGCAAGACAATGCTAGACCTCATGTGGCTGGAGTGTATCAGCAGTTCCTGCAAGAGGAAGGCATTGATGCTATGGACTGGCCTGCCTGTTCCCCAGACCTGAATCCAGTGGAGCACATCTGGGACATCATGTCTCGCTCCATCCACCAACGCCACGTTGCACCACAGACTGTCCAGGAGTTCGCGGATGCTTTAGTCCAGGTCTGGGAGGAGATCCCTCAGGAGACCATCCGCCACCTCATCAGGAGCATGCCCAGGCGTTTTAGGGAGGTCATACAGGCACGTGGAGGCCACACACACTACTGAGCCTCATTTTGACTTTTTTTAAGGACATTACATCAAAGTTGGATCGGCCTATAGTGTGGTTTTCCACTTTGATTTTGAGTGTGACTCCAAATCCAGACCTCCATGGGTTGATAAATTTGATTTCCACTGACAATTTGTGTGATTTTGTTGTCAGCACATTCAACTATGTAAAGAAAGGAGTATTTAATGAGATTATTTCATTCATTCAGATCTAGGATGTGTTATTTTAGTGTTCCCTTTATTTTTTAGAGCAGTGCATTATCTGTGTTATTCCCTTTTTAACTAGATTTCATTTCAGCACCATGTACTGTTCAAATTGACTAGTGGAGAGACAGTACCCATTTGCATACCACTCTGCACATGATGGCAAGCCATATTTATGAAGATTTAAATGAACCACATATTGACATTGTAATCCCCAGCAGATCTATATAAAACAGTTTGTGATTGCTTTGGTATAAACTGTGAAAGGGAAAGTTCAGGTTTCCATTAAGAGGCCAAATATTTCTGTTGAAGGGCCATATTTGGCCCCCAGGCTCACTGCTATATAGACAGATGATCAACATTCTGCACAGTCATCCTCAATGCCCTGATTCATTAATTGACTTCTGTTATGAAGAGAAACATTTCTACAGTTCCACAGTATATAATGTTTTGGGGCTGAATTGGCCAACATGTTAATGCATACTTATGTCGAATCTAAAATACATTAGAAATAATCCAAGTTAAAAATTTCAGACGGACAACAAATGAACACAAGCAAGCTGCCTCACATCCATCCCAACGGACAGTGTAAGATTTAAAGAGCCTAATGCCTTTAAATCCTGTTTAATTAATGCCTTTTGGTTTCAATCAATTATCAATCTGCTTAATCAGTCTATAAAAAGATGAACAAACTAACTGAATAGTCACGATCACAGAGCAGGAAGCAGGGGAGATGAAAAGGAGCAAATCTGCAGCCATTATATAACTTTGATTGGCGGCTGAAGCTGTTTCAATCAGAGCTACAGGGCACGTGACGGTTTGGTGACAATTAAGAAACAAATGAATCCCATTCACATGGGTGAATATTTATTGTGTAATATAATTATCATGATATTGTTTCATCAATTGCGATTTAACAGTTTTACTCTACACAGTGTGATGTAGGCTCGGGAAGGCAGCGTGTTCACCAGCTCTGGCCAATGTCACAGCAGATCAAATCACATCACAGCACATCATACAGGATTTATTAAGTTAGGCCTGTTATGTAACACCATCCCCAGCCACAGACAGCCTTAGTGAGGGCGACACGCAAGCAGCTTACACAGAGCAGGTAGAGAGAGGGGGGTGAAAAAGGAGAAATAACAGCTATATATAGCACTTTTTCATGCAGGTGACAAAATGGTTTACAACAATCAATATAAAACATACACAGGTCAAAATAAAATTCAATAAAAAAAAGAAGAGAAAGAGGGTTTGAGGGACAAAGTCGGGAGGAGCAGGAGAGGAGAGAGGTGGAGGGAGCACGTGTCAGGGACCTTTATGAAGGTGAGAAAGTGGATACAGTGGATAGAAGATAAGGAAGGAATGTTAGATGGACCGCTCCATTTTGTGAAGTGTGATAATCTGGACACGCACAGTCATTGTTCATCCGCCTCTGTGTCTGCAGCAGAGCAGAGGACACACAGTGGTCTCTCTTGTGTAAGTGTGTCCTTGCTATGTACACTCTTATGATCTTGACTTATCTTTGTATATCTAAAACACATGTTCTGCAAAGTTGGAGTGTGCATGCATGTTTTTGCATGAACATCCATATGCTGTATAAAACAGTGGCAAAGAGATGACTTGAGGGTTAAAAAAAGCTCCCCTCGTCATCCGCACAGAGCAGACTGCAGTGGTAATGCAACTCACAACTTGCACCGTATAGGTTGGTGTGGAAGGGAGGGAGTGTATGTGAGTGTGGGAAAGTGTGACTCACACCAGCTATGCTTGAGGGTCTCCTTGAATACCCTGTGCATTCCCATCTGACAAACAGGAAAATGTTGGCAAAAAGTGGTTTGCAGACTGTTAGTCTGCAACACTGAGTCACTGCTGTTAATCCAGGAGACTCACTGACTGTGTTTATGGATCTGCTTGTGTGCTGGGTGCTCTTCCAAAGCCCTGCTGGTCCTTTTCAACAGTTTTCCTGTCTGGTGTTTGGATACTGATCACTGAGGCAGTGAATCATGGATATATTCAAATGTTTACCTACTGTGTATGTTATCTATCCCTCTGTGTTTGTGTTTATGTTATATGTCATGGTCAACATTGTGCTGAGTCAGGCTGCTGTGATGAGTTGTACATTAGCAACCTGTCACTGTTTACCAAGCTGACTATCTGCTTCCCTCATTCATCGTTTACAGTTTTAGATAACAGAAATTACAAAATTTTGCTTTTCTGTGTTAATAAACCTAACTGCCAGAGCTGGGAGGGGATAATGTTCTCTTTTTCAACAAACTACAATTTACATTTTATTTATAATATTGCAGATCCACCCACAAAATATTTTCTGCCATTTAAGGAATACCGTAGTTTTACTATATGAATATTCACTTTCTTGCAGAGAGTTAGACAAATCTAAACCTATATCCAGCAGGTGGTTAGCTTAGCTTAGCATAAAGACTGGAAGTGGTGAGGAAAAGGCAAGCCTGGCTCTGTCCAAGTTTGTAAAAAAAAATAAAAAATATCAGCTTAAACT